AAAATAATGACTATATTTTCATTATTACCAATTGTGTTAAATATAAATATAAATCAATTTACACTGCTGCCTTGAGCTTCAAAAATGGAACATAAGTAAATCTTTAAAAATGTTCTTATTGGTAGTCTTACAGGAAGTCCGAAAAATCTGCAATAATTATCATTAGTTTTCAGAAAAGATTAAAAAATACTCTCTTGCGTGTAACACTCACAATAAACAATATAGTATGATTTTTGATTTTTTGTTTGCAAACTAAAAGAATAGCCGAACAATAAATTAAATAAAAATGTATTCCTGAAAGCTACGGATTAGAGAGTTCGCTTATCATCGAATTATTTAATTCGACTATTTAACACAAAATAGGACGATTTTACAATATATCTTTAGGTTCACGAATTTAAAAAATTTAAGGTTCAAGTTCTTAAAATATATATCTGAAATAAAAACTATTTATTCAGGAATTTACAAAATTGAAGGTTCAAGTTCTTAAAATATATATCTGAAATAAAAATTATTTATTCAGGAATTTACAAAATTGAAGGTTCAAGTTCTTAAAATATATATCTGAAATAAAAACTATTTATTCAGGAATTTACAAAATTGAAGGTTCAAGTTCTTAAAATATATATCTGAAATAAAATTTATTTATATTCGATATTTTTGTACTCGAGAATCGGCTTGTAATCTTTGCCAAGCCACAGCTGTTGACTTGGTTTCATAATATTTCCATTTTACAGTTTTGTATTATTTTCAAAAAAGAAGGAACAATTAAAAAAAAATCAATTGCAGCACGAATTCAAAGCAGAACAGACAGTTCTGGCATTTTAATGCTGGTTTTCCATTATTATTTTCTTTTAAAATATATTTTACTTTCGGATTGGGAAACATTGTCAGGAGAAATAAAAAGTGAAAGTCTCTGTTGAATCAAAATAAAAAGAATCAAGAAATGTGAACTTCTTTAACTTTAATTGAAAGATTTTGTTTCCTGCCTATTAAAAAAGAATCCAAAAATTTGAATTTGAACTTCAATTGAAAGATTTTGTTTCCTGCCTACTAAAATAGTTTCAAATAAACATACGTATCTAAAGCAATTTATACAAATGTTTGTCACTTGTTCGCCGATTTTCTACAGTTTTCGCCATATTGGAGTGTTTCTTAAATGTGTCGTCTAATGAAAAAAATTTGGTCTTTCCGCAAATAATTGCAATAAGCTTAACAATAACTTATTATCGCACATATTCTGAGACACCTGTTATCCCAAAATTTGCTCGGCAACTGCCAGAGACAGAGACAATGGCCATTTTGGCATTTATTTAAAGAAAAGACAGAGTATACTTAGGAGCTGTGTGCACCTAGATACTAGGTACGACTATATACGAGTACATACATACATTTGTGTGTCTGAAGAAAAAAAGAACAATACGAGCGAGGCAAATAGAACGTTTAGCGTAATTTATGCGAAGCGCAGGCTATCAGTGGCGCGACTAAAGCTAAAAGAAACAAACAAATTAAATATTTATTTATTTTTTAGAATATGTCGCAGTTGCTGGAAAGAATCAACACACACACACACACAAACACGCACACACTCACACATAGAAGGAGACCTTTCAGGCAGACAATAGTCCAGAGGCCAGCTAATAAAAATTCAAATGATAATTATGACAATCGTACGTGATAATTGCTGCAAACCTGGGCCCTGGGTCCGGGGCCCTCCTACACACAAACACACAACACTCTTAGATGCGGTCTTTTTCTTGACAGGCGGCGGGATCTGCAAATGCTTACTCAAAAGAACAGAAAAAATAAAACAAGAACAGCCGCTAGCTCGTGACAGCTCCGAAACATAAACAAACAGACGATATATAGAACATATAGTATGTGTGTATAATTAGTATACGAAATGCAGCCAAAAATTATAATAGAAAGGTACACACATATATATCTACATACATTTTGGGGGAGTGCAGCCAAATCTTAATAAATAAGTGGAGATTTGCTGTTATTTATTTTTAAAACAATTTCTGGCAGACTTTGAGGCAACAGGCACGCACACGTCTCAGATGGGGTCAACATTATTGAATGGGCGAGGTCAAGACTTGGCCCATTTGATGCGATAATTTTTAAATAGTTTTTCTGTTCTTTCTTCTATGCTTAGGTCTAGAGTGTTCTCTACTTTCTGTTTTCTGTTTAAATTTAAAAATACAGAGTATGTATTGGGCATCGACTTCAGAGATAAGAGATTATGCGATAAGGGAACAGAAGCGAAATTTAATTTAATTTTACTTTCTGTTACCATTCCATTTTTATTTATTTATTCATAATTTTTTACAAATCTTTATGCTAATCTTCTGTTTCTTATATATTTTAACTCAAACAGCATCAGCAGCATAATAAAGATGAAGCACTATGGCTGCAATTCTCTCGACTATCCTGACTGCTGGACTGGGAAAGTGCCAAATACAGTTAGAATTTTAACAGAGTATACATAGAATAGGGAAACTTGTTTCGTCTGTGAAAATAACTTTAGTTTCCTGCAGATAGCGGCGCATGAACTACTTTAGAGGGTTTGGAAGAGCAAGACTTGTAAAGGACTAACCGTCATCGATATATCGATAACAATGTTTAAAACATTATAACGTATTAATAGCAGTTGAAAAAAGATGGTATTTAATAGGGCGTGGGTGCATGGTTACACTAAGAGAAAAAAGAGGCGCGTGCCAAAATGTGCAATGAAGCAAAATAATTAAGTAATATATAAAAAATAATAGTTTACGGACTGCAGGTTTCCTACTCTAACAAAATTTAGATTATGGAATGGAATGAAGGAGAAGAACTTTAGATAGGTCTATCCTGCAGAATATCAGACCAGCGTCAGAACCAGAAACCAGCTTCGAATTTCTTACCACACCTTATGACGCTGTGGAAAAGCAATATGAAATATTTAATATTTATTTATTTAATTGTTTAATTATTTATTTAATTATGTATTTATTTATTTACCTATTTATTTATTTGTTTATTTTTAAAATTATTTATTTATTTAATTATTTATTTATTTAATTATTTATTTATTTATTTATTTGTTTATTTTTTTTAATTATTTATTTATTTACATATTTATTAGAAAATCAACAAATAGTGCTGTCGATACATATATGAGAACTATGAGTTATATTATCATATATTATTATAAAACAAGATAGAACGCTACAGTCGAGCAAGCCCGACAGTAAAATAGCCTGTACTCTCCACAAAAAAAGAAAAATTAAAAAAAAAAATTAAAAAAAAAAATTAAATTATTAAAAAAAATTAATGAATTAATTAATTAAATTAAATTAGAATATATGTTTATGTTTAGTTTTAACAGCATACATTTACATCACGTACCTATGCGTGTTTATATGCGTGTATGTATGCAGCACAAAGTTGAACCAAAGCAGCAACAACAACAACAGCTGCGGGCAGCGCTGCCGACAGAGGCAGCGCATGAGCAGCGATTTTACTTATGGCTATAACTTTCTTCAGAATTGACCTATCATGATGAAATTTGGCACACGGACACATTAGTACTAACTGGATGTACCTACCAAAATTGATTTTAAAATTCCGAGAATTACGGAAGTTATAAGAAAAAACACGAATTGCGGGGGAGTGGGGGGGGTGCATCGAAAAAAAACTCAAACTCGTACTTTCTCGGTCTTAGGAGAATATGGAAACCAAGTTTGGTTATTCTAGCTCTTATACTTTCTGAGATCCTTGCGTTCATACGGACAGACGGACAGACGGACAGACGGACAGACAGACGGACAGACGGACGGACGGACGGACAAGGCTATATCGACTCGGCTTCTCATCCTGATCAAGAATATATATACTTTGTGGGGTCTGCCACGCCTCCTTCTGTGTGTTACATACATGCGCACAAAACTAGTATAGCCTTTCACCCTTTGGGTACAGGCTATAATAAAATAAACAGTTCTATAGTTATCTTTATTGAATTTATTTAAAATATGTTAAAATTGAACACTTTTAAGCCCAAAACTATCTCTTTCATTTATGCCAGCAGGAAAGCAGGAAATCATTTCAAAAATAGCCGCATTAACGCACAATCTACTATAGATTCTAAGTTACATTCAGTTGATTTAATTTATATAAAAATGTAAAAATTATTAATAGAGACGTTTTTACCAGAAATGCTCATTTGTTATTTAAAGTATTTTTAAGGAACTTTTAATTTTGAAAATGTTTACTTTAATTGTCCCTTTTACTTTAATTCATGTCTTAAGTAATAAATTAAGCCAAGCCCCAGAAAAGTACAGACGACAAGTAATTCAAGAAAAAACAGAAGCCAATTAAATGTTGTTTATTATTATTGGATATCATAAACGCGTAGAGTAATTGTCTGTTAAAAAGCGTGTTATTCTTGGTTACCTGTTCGATCGCTTGTTTGGTGAAGCTAAAAGTACTTATATCTAAAAATGGTGTCATCTATTAGCCAGAAATTTGGTCATTTCATTGAAATGCTATCAAATTGATAATAAAGAAGAATAAAAAACACATTAATGCACAATTGGGTGACAATAACGCAATAAATAAAATGTGCTAATCATTAAGAATGACTTGTGCATAGATAATTCCTCAAATAGCTTAAGGAATGCATTGTTAAAACTTGTTCTGCACATGTAAAAGTTGGGCCTATATGCCAAGTGTTATGTCTCCAGCTATTATGGTTCAAGAGTTCTGGAAGTTCATACGAACAGACGAATAGAATCATTTTACAGGGTATTAAAGGTAAATGGAAACATAATCTGTCAAAACTTAGAAACTGCGTCTTTGAATATGAGCGGAACCTACAGATTTATAACATTTTCAGTTCAGCACTAATTTTCCCGACACGATTTTAAAAATCACACTTTGATTGCCCTAAAAAAAAAAACAACACATTTTTAGTAAGTTTTAGTAAATATTTTTTGTTGAGATTTATTTAATGGAAACGGTTAGCCATAGAAGCCGCCGCCATATGGACCGAAGCCACCATAGCGACCAAAGCCGCCACCATAGCCTCTTCCGTAACCGCCATAGCCACCGCCATAGCCACCCCCAAAGCCTCCGCCATAGCGACCGAATCCTCCATAAGGACCACCAAATCCTCCAAAAGGACCACCAAATCCTCCATATCCAAATTGACGCTTGGCTCGCACAAGTTCTGGTTGTGCCTCAACGGCATCTCGCACCTGTTCCTGTTGCTCCTCAAAAGCGTCCTGGCCAGAGGCTAGCGAGATCAGCACGCAGGCAATTAAGGCGAAAACAAAGTAGGCACGCATCTTAGTATGTTTTTCTCAAAATTCTCGGATCACACGCAGCTCTGAAGTCAACGAATTCTGTTAGTTCACTGTCATAGTCAAGGCAACGATCGGAAGCTTTTATATAGGCATCCTAAGCTCCGCTCAGCTCAACTCGGCAGCGTCGCGTTCTTTTGCTAATTTTTATCGTAACGATAATAATCAAATTCAAGAACAATCTCCAAAGTCCCCGTGTGTGTGAGGCAGCGCCAACGCATCGCCAAAAACCAGTTCCGCACTCATGACAAAACCGAATTAGATAAATAAAAGAGCCAGCCGCTGGGTGTGTTTGTTTGTTATTGTGGTTTTCGATCTCATTGTTGATGGCATTAAACTAAAGTTTGGTACTTTTTTCTGGGACGTTATAAACAACAATAATTAACCGGTTGCCGAAAACCCAACAGATGCTAGAGACCCAAGACATTAATTTTGTTTACGTCAAACCTATGTATTTAAATTAATAAGTTTTAAATTTATTCTAAATTTGTTCTAATTAAAGTTGTGTCTCGATGGGATTTTTTGTTTTGAAATGTAGGGCCGTGTTATTTAAAAGAAGCGAAAGCAATTCAGGGCTAGACAAAGTCGACAACTCTATGCGCTAAAATTGTATTGAAAGCAGCTGGTTATGTAGACAGGGAGCTAGAGCAGGCTCTAAGATGCTCAACATTTTCTGTTTAAGCATAAAAACAATAATAATACGAATATTTATAGGAAAAGCTCTAATAAAACAATGAGATATTATTAATTATATTGATAACAATTTTGTTGTAGTTAGTCAACTTTAATATTAAAATTTCTAGAGTATTAACCAAAATCATTCATGAGTAGGCTCTTTGAACACCATTAGCTTCCCATCTAAAACTAGTTCTTTGTAAATGGTCGATAGGTCGATTCACTTTTAAATAAATTATGAGAAATTTACATAGTAGTATTGAAAATATATTATGTTTATAATATTTATTTCTTTCGTCAATAAGAGTCTTTTAAAAGGTACTATTCTATTGGCGAAAGAAATCTTCTGTCGATATGCATTTTAAAAAAGAAGGAAGGAGGCTCTTTACGGAGCTTGCTCATGAATTGAAATTGGTTTATTTGGGTGACTACGTATGCACAATTAATACAAGGAATTTACTGAATATAGAGGTATATTTCCTATATGTATTTAGGACATTATAAATTAATTTAAATTATAACACAAAAGTAACGCAAAAGAAAGGTTTGAAGTAATTATTGATTTTGTATAATTGCTACATAATTCCATTATCTACACCTTTCCTTAACAAATAATTCAGTTGTTAAAAAAGCAAAAAGACAATTTTTTTTAAAAATATTTATTATTTTAAACATTCTTTACGACATTTATTTATGTTATTTTTGATCAAAAAAATCATTTGGAAAATTAACAAACCACTTTTAATTGAAAATTAATTTTCTATTCAAGGAATTACATAATGTATGGTCAAGTAAGAGAGAAAAAGTATTCCAAAAACTGCGCTGTCCCTATGTCTTGATGTTAAAAATTCTTCAATGAGAGAAAACTATTTTCTAATGTCTTGAGTAACTCCATCTAGAGTGAAAAGATAAGTGGATACTTAGAAATGTCGATAGTGTATATCACAGCCACCAATTACCAATTATACAAGTATTTTATATTTTGAAAATTTCCACTGCCTTTTGTCCGTTAGAAAGATCGAACGATGGCAATAGAATAAATTAAGCGAAAAGCCCCGAAATATGCAAATAAAATTTATCAAATAATTTTTGTGTAAGTTTTTGCCAAAAAACAAAAAATAAAAGTAGTCAACAAAATTAATCAATTTATTTGACAAAGGGGCGCCTTTATGATTATGCTCGTCCGGCTATGTGGGCTTGAGGATTGGGGGCTTCAACCTCAAACAACCGTCAAAATGTTACATACATTAGCATAGAATTAAGCTGCCGCTGTTGCTCACTCACCTACTAAGAGGTTTGGCAAAAAAACCAAGAAACATGTTTTAGTGCTACACATAGCACAACGCATTTGAATTATCATTCTAATAGGTGTGAAAGCATCTATGAGTAAGCCAATTAAGTCATCAGCTGTGAAACTTTGTAAACAAAGGAAGTTTGTTTTTATTTACCTGCGAAAGATCAGGTGGATGGAAGAATACGAATACGAATACGAAACAAGGCGATAATTGGGGTTGGCATTTTATGGCTATGTTCAGTGCTGGAAATACCCATGTGGTGAGCATTTCCTAATGCCATGTCATTGCCGATGATCGATGCTGGCGCGCCGAACACAACCATATAAAATTACCAAATCAAACGTCACAGTCTGATGTTGGCTCTCCACATACTATACTTATGTATATAAATCTCACTGTGCCGTCCATTTGATTCGCTTTGATCTCCCTCTATACTATATATATATATAGATACATACTATGTACATACATATATTGTTGACATCCAAGTAGCAGAGCCTATGAAAGAAAATAAATAAATAAAGAAAAAATCAGCAATGAAACTTCGATTTTGCGCCATAAATCAACGGTGGGATGTGTGCGGCGCAGTTGGAAAAGGAAGCGATCGAACACTTCAGCAGCATCATTATCATTGTCTGTAAAAGCCATCCCCATCCCCTCCTCCCTCCCTCCCTTCATCTCTTGCCATCCAAAGACATGTGCGCTGCAGACGCTGTCTTGTCTCGCACGTTTGTGCTTTTTCTTTTTATTGCTCGCCGACTTTTCTTTTCGATTTTCGATATGCGGGGCTAGCCCAAAAAGTAAACGTATACCGGCAAATAAATTATTTCTTTACTTTTTAATTTTTTTACCTTAACAAACTTTCTTACAGCTTTGTTTAATAGCTTCGATAGTACGTTTATAGTGAGAAACAAATTGTTGGCAATTAGAAGCAACAAAGACTTGTCGAGCAGAAACTAAGATAGAGTATTTAATTAAGAAGCGCGTACATCGAAGATAATAAAGACTTTTAATATAAAGAAAACCTATATAGAATTATTATTATTTTCATGCAAAAGTTTGCAAAATACATGTTATTGATTATTTATACTTTCCGCAGTCAAATTTTCTTCGCTTTTCTTCTCGTCTCGTTTAGTTAATTTTTTTGAGAGTTATTTTTTAATATAATGTTATATTTTAATTCAATTTTATAACTTGTCACCTAACATTTTTATTATTTGCATGCAAAAGTTTGCAAAATTTATGTTGTTGATTATTTCTACCTTCTGCAGTTGGAATTTTCCTCGCTTTTCTTCTCCTCTCTTTGAGTTAATTTTTTCGGAGGTTCCTTTTTGAAAATGTGTTGTGATGGATCCATGTTATATCGGAGCCTATAAATCTGCACATAATATTGCCTTTATTTTTATGAGATTTTTCTAAAAACTTTACTGAAATAACTTTACGATTTTTATATGAGGTTTTTTTTATTTTTAAACTTTATTTTTGCAAGCTAACAATATTTTCCCAGATCGATTCAACACTCATACCTGAAGGCCTTCGTTGCTCATGCTATACATATACTATTATATGTATCAAATTTTGTGATTCAGGATTAATTCCAATTTACAAATGTTAAAATAAATAAATAATAATCACTCATACCAATCCACAGATTATATTTTGGCTCCATATTGATATTGGTAGTAAAGGTCTTATTCAAATGAAAGAATTCTATATCAAAAAGAATTCTATTGCGTGGTCAAATTCACAATTGAGCTTTGACCAAAAAAAAAAGCATTTCAAATAATAAAAATAAATACAATAATAGTATAAAATATATATAATCTTACTACTTAATAATATCTCTAGGACAGAAAACAAACTTTTTAAATAATAAAAATAAAAATAAATAATAGTTATATGTATATATAATCTACTTAATATTAATTGTAGAACAAAAAACACACATTTTAAATAATAAAAATATTTAAAATACTAGTTCTCTATATAATCTTGCTACTTAAGATTGGTTTCTGTTTTAGCGTAACTTTGGAACCATCCTCGCATATATTTATACATGAGTATGTGTTACGATATCGCGCTTATGTGCACTTTTTTTTGTGGTGTGTTGTCATGTGATTTAAGGGTTCCGTAAATCACGCTTCTTGTCTAATTTCGTCTCGCTTGAGATTCCCGACATGCTTGCCAACTCAATGGAATTATTTCTTCATTTCTGCACATGCTCCATCAGCATGTCAAGTGCTTCCAGCGCCAAGCGGTATGTCTGCCCGCCGAGTGCCAGATCTTGTGGATGATCGCGCCAATGGTCGACACTTATCGACAACTTCAGCGATTCCCTTTCGTAGAGCGCTTATCGCCTTTGTATCTGTATCTGTACAAGTATCTTGACTTGCCCGCCTGTTTCCAATGGTGAATGTCTGGCTTCGAGCCTAAGTAGAGTGTGGCTCACTCAAATGTCAAAAGCTGTACACAGTGCTTCTGTCAACATGCCTCTGCCTCCGGGCATTTGTATCTTTGTAGCTCCACATACACTCGTACGGGCATTATCCTCAGTGGGGCACAACAATTGCATAAATTTGACTGGCGAACAGTTTGGTTGTAAGCCAAATTTTAGTTCAACAACTCAATCTTAACTTGCTTACAAATTGATGCAAGCGTGTCATTTAAACTGATTTGAAAACCTATTTGATTGTTTTGCATTCAGAAAATATGTTTTTGTTAAGTTTTTGCTCCATCTTCTTTGAGTTGAAGTGCAAATTAAGTTTTTATTTGTACTAAACGGGTTCAAATGAATCCTTGAATCATTTATTACTTTGAGTAGATATGTATATATTTTTAAGGATTTTAGAAAACTAAAAGTTATGGAACAGCCCTATATTTGAGTCCCAACTATTCGAGAATGATTAATCATTTTTTAGCGCTTGTATTACACTTTTGAAACAATTGAATCATTCACAATCTTCTTAATATAAATATTTTCTGTTGAAAATAGTTAGCTAGTTAGTTAGTTTTTTA